CAGTCGCGCCGCGGCCCGCCGCCGCTGCCGCCGCTGCTGCCGCCCACGCGCAGCCAGCGCCCGCAGCCTCCAAGCCGGTGGGGAACGGGACACCGGCCGCGGCCGAGGCGACGGACGACAGGCCCAGCTCGCTGTCCGGTGAGCGATGTGTCGGCTGGGGTCTGGGTTGAGAAGGCACGAGCTTTGGCATGGGCGCCTCCTGCATGTGCTGGGGCACGGTGGGGTCTGGATCCAGCCAGCACCTGGCGATAGGTGACGTGTGCATACGCTGGTCAAGCGCAGTCTCCAAAGCTGCCATGCAGCGCTGTGACCCCTGCGTCCTGAGGGTCCAATTCCCATCTTGAGCACTGCAAACGCCCCTCATATCTCCACCCCCCCCGCCCCCCGCTTCTCCATCCTGCGCAGCACCGTTCCGTGCCTGGTGCCGCGAGCAGCTAATCGCGGTGGGCAGCACCCCGGACCTGGCCTTGTGCGAGTTCCTCATGACCGTGGACTCCAACTCCGAGGCCGCAGAGTACCTCACGCTCTACCTGGGGAAGACCGAAGCGGTGCGGGAGTTTGGTGGGGAGGCATGGGGCTTGAGGCTGTGCCCGGCCAAGCAGGGGGGTGGAGCCGTATCCCCTGTGTTGGGCGGCCACAGGGCTGGAGCCCTGCCAATCACAGAATGATGGGAGAGGGTCGGCGAGGGACGCAGATGGTCGCCCCTGCACAGCGCTCGGTGGGGTGTGCAGCATGCCCGACTCCCGGAAAGGCGTGGGAAGGGGCTCCGGGCGACGACTCCTTGCCCCATTACCACACCCCTCCCCCCCCGCTCCTCCAGGGTCTGATCCAGATCAACCTTCCTCTTACCCCCCCTCATAAATCCTTATTGCCGTGCAGGTCTCCAAGTTTGCCGCCGAGTTCATGAACCGCAGGCTGGAGGAGAAGGCCGGCATGATGGGCCGCAAAGCGCGCAAAGCACGCAAGCAGGCGGCCGCCGCCAACCCGGCCCGGCCCGCCGCCAGCCTGGCCACGGCCGCCACGGTGGGCCCCCGCACTGTGGCGCCGCCGCCCGCACCGCCCGCCGCCAAGGCCTCGGGCGCGACCGCCTCCGGCTGGGAGAAGGTGCCCAAGGCGCCGGCGGGGAAGAAGAAGGGCAAGAAGGGCACGCCCGTGCACTCGGCCCTCCTAGGCTTTGACACCGGCACAGACTACGCCATGCTGGCAAACCTGGACGCGTGAAGCGAGCTGGTGTGCACGAGGCGAGTGCCTGCACCACCATGCACCGCCCTTGCATGCAGCTGGCTGCCGCGACCGTGCGTGAGCCTCCGTTGGAATGTGAAGGGAGCACGTGTTGTTCCCCCCACCCCCCGGCACTGCATTGAGTCCTGGGGAGCGTGAGTAGGGTGCACTGCGAGCTCGGCTGACTTTAACACGAAGAATGAATGGCTGGGCTTGAGTGGGCGCGGCGAGCATGTATCTTTTGGGGGTGGGGGCGGGGTTAAGCTGCCAGGCAGCATGGGACGGCATCAGCTGGTGACAATTGCTACGCAGCCTCGTCCGTGGAGGTGGAGAGGAAGCGCTGGATGGCACGCAACTCCTCCCTGGCCTGCCGATTATTGGGCTCCAGGCGAAGCACATGCTCAAAGTCGCTGGCTGCGCCCTCTGCCTCTCCCTGTGGGGCAAGGGAGGAAGAGGCAAGGATGGGGTGGAGAAGCTCAACAACGGCGCATTGCAGGCGACTCGGTGGTTTACACTGCGCCTCAGTTGTAGTGTGCAACCAGGCCACCACAGTCTCATACTCTGAGCCAGCCCCTAGACCCTGCACTGCACTGCCGCCACGCATACCTCCCGCCCCACTGATTTGCATTCTTCCACTCCCATCTCCCCCTCCCCCCCAACCGCACGACGCACGCACCATGGCCATGCGCGCCGACCCCCTGCGCAGCAGGGCCTTGGCGCTGACGCGGATGCGCAGCGAGGCTTCCGCGTCCTCCTCGGCCGCGCCGTACCGCCCCAGGCGCAGGTACACCAGGGCCCGGTTGTTGTAGTAAACAGCGTTGCCCGGGTCCAGCGCCAGGGCCTGGGAGTACTGCAGTACGGCGTCGTCGTACCGCCCTGACTTGAAGGCGTCGTTGCCGGCCTCCTTGCACGCCTCAGCCCGGGCGGCCGTGTTGTCGCGGGGGCGGGGGCCCTTCCCCCCCGGGGAATCGCGGGCGGGGGGCGCCGCGCCGCCAAACAGCCTCCAGCTTCCCTCCTTTGAGGCGCCGGCGCCCGGCCCAGAGGCGGCGCCGTCGGCACCCAACGCCCGGGACGATGCCCCAAACAGCTTCCCCACCTCCTCCTGCAGCAGGGGCCCCAGCCTGGAGGCAGCCTGCAGCAGCACCACATCCTTCCGATGCAGCGTGATCAGCGACACCGACAGGGGCTCGCCCTCTGCGCCCCTGAACGGAACAACCACCTGGGAGGGGGGCGGCCGGCAGGACTTGAGAACTCCAGTGACATCAACACCCCGCTCACATTCCCAGGCAGGACCAGCTTGCATCCGCACCTGAGGCACGCCGGCTAGCGCCGCCAGGGCCAGGAACCCCTCGCTGTCATCCTGGAAAGCCGCCTGGTCCTCCCCACTGCCCCTGGCCGGCGGTGCGCCTGATGCCGTGGGAAGCACGAAGATGTAGCCCTCCTGCAGGGCGCCCAGGAGGCTGTTGGTGGCCTCCTCGGCAACTTTTCGCCCCGCAATGCCCTCGGCGGTGGTCTGCGGAGAGGGTGGGAGCGGCGGCGCATGAGGTGCAGCGCAGCCTCGCCATTTCCCCGACTCGACCTTGAAGACAAGCCCCAGAGGGGCGCTGACGCCCGACCACAGGTGCGACAGAATACAAGTAGATCGCCCCCCCCCCCCACCACACACACACACCACCCA